AATAAATAAATCTAGGAATATATACTTATATACTACTTAGCTTAGCTCCAAATCTCGAGACTTGGAGTAGTACACGTTCCACCTAAATAGTTGGTATTAAGTTGTAATTAAATAAGAGTACCGCTATATAATTAAAATAACAATTCCAGCTGCAACAATTAGTCAAATAATCAATGATAAGTCATTTTGAGTCCAAATTATCTGATTTCAGCTTCTCAAATGTGACTATTTTAAGGAATTTTATTGCAATATATTGCTTTACAGTATCACCATGTGTTGCAGTATAACGAATCATGATCCCTGTATCGTGATACATATCGCCAGATGCTTACCAATACACAGGTCTACAGTTCATCATTTGAGTAGTTTTTTTGAAAAATGACCAAATTCTCTTATTTTAACCTAGAGTTTATGCAGTACTTTCATGATTAAGGCCCTGATGTCCCAACACACACTGCAGGACTGACTATACAGTAATTACATTCACAGTATGTGATACTGTAACATCACCTTTCCTTTTCCCGGTAACAGTGCTTTAATAAGAATGTATTATTGTCAGGATATAGTAAAGACAGAGAGACACAGGATACATACAGAGGGATGCACCGTGCTTGACTCCATGTTAAGTATACTTTAAACTGTTAACAGTTAATATGTTCAATTTCAAGTTCAAATTAGCCGTTCTAAATATTAATTAAATTAATTTTGTGCTTCAGTTTAGGCTCTGTTTAGGCACCCTATTGTTCTTAGTATCATTTTAGCGCTAGTATCGAAAAAAAAAAAAGAAATACTCAACCCTACATATAAGTAGTATAACTTTTTCAGTGAGGTGAATAAATGGCACTAAACCTAGAGTAAAAGAGACCTGCATCAATATTAGGGCTGTGAACCAGCAAATTTCTGGCCATACAATACGCATCACGGTACAGGGGTTACGGTTCAATATACTGTGATATATTGCAATACTCTAAACAAGGTGATATATTACGATTTTAATTTTAATCTAAATTTAAAGAAAACTGTCATAGTATAAATAACACACCACCATATGCATTAAAGGGACAATGTGTAGTATTTTAAGTATTTTATTTGCTTAAAATCAATGTCTTCATTCATAAATGTGTCCTCATTGGTGTCA